ATATATTGTTCATTTGCTTTGATGGGGTGGGGCAGAGACGAAGAAGAGGAAAAGGGACAAATATCAAACACCATTATTAAGATATCTGTTGAAAATATGGAGCTTAAAAGTGATAAATATTAATACAACAATAGCATTATTGTGTTTTGTTGAAAACAATATCTAAGAATTGTAAGAGTACCATAGGAGCCCATTTAGAGCAGTAAATCTAAAACATTCCCCAAAGTTGGTATTTCATTTTCCCCCTTAAAAACATCAGAGAAGAGGATTACATAATATTATTTCATACATTCGTAATGTATAATGAATATTAAGTTTGGTATCCATGGATATAAACTGAGGTACCTGTTCTAAAAATTCAAGATAAAATACTGCTTTAATCATTGTAACATTTCAGACAACCTTTCTTCTTTTTTTTTTTTTATCTTGAATGGTCCAGAAATTCATTTCAAGTTCTGAATTCTAGTCAATGTGTAAGCATATCATTTTTCTTCATAGTGCATGTTAATCTTTGTTGTAATTTAAACACATTCTCTTTTTCTGCTATCATTGGAAACAGAAAATCTATATAACTGCTCTCATTTAAGACAGACGATGACAGTCACAAAAGCTCCCTCAGATTCTTTCTCTCTTTAGCTAAATGGGCCTTGTATGTTTAGCCTTTTCTTATTGGATCAATTTATCTGAAATCCAATTCTGTCTGTTGCCTTCCTTCATTGTACTATTTCCAAGTTCTACAAAAAGAATACAATCAGACAGATTGATCAACTAGAATAAGCCGAGAGGCACGGATTAAATTTTAGATTTGCCACTTATGGCTGCTCATTTGAAAAAAAAAAAGACTCAAATATCTATGTCAAAGCACCATGTTGTACTCTTTAAATGTATACAATTTTGTCAGTCGTGCCTCAACAAAGCTGAAAAAACTTAACATTTGAAATTTTAGAATGACTTTTTTAGAAGTATTTTCTCAGTCTAAATTTTCTCATCTGTAAAATGGGAACAAAAATATACACTTTAACAAAATGTTATGTCAATTTAGGATTAAGCATGCATGATCAAAGAAGCTAAAAATGAACTACATTTGCACTTTAGAATGTGTAATGACACACAAAAACCATTTGTAATACTACTTGGTGTAAAAATCCAGAACAGATTTTTCACATGGAAAGTGTATATGTGTATGTTTATATATATATTTATTTATATATATATAAAAACTTTTTTTAGTTGTCAATGGGCCTTTCTTTTTGTTTATTTATATGCAGTACTGAGAATCAAACCCAGTGCCTCACACATGCGAGGCAAGTGCTCTACCACTGAGCCATCACCCCAGACCCATCACGTGGAAAATATATTTTAGCAATCCTTTCAAAAGGCTACTAGGATAAGCTATGTGAGCTCACATGTGCATATGTGTGCATTAAAACAAATCCAAGCTTTTCTCTTGGCATTGATTACAGATCTCTAGCAGGGCGTCAGTACTTCTGTGAAATAGTCTGCTAAAGAAAAATAAATGGTCAATAATTTCATTTCTTTACTTAATCATCTAATTACAGGAGGACCACTGGATTATGACATTGACCACTATAATTAGGTTAAAAAAAAAAAGACCTCAAACTCCAATTCTCTTTCCTTTTTTTTTTTTTTTGACAGATGTAATGCCAAATCAGTTTAGCATAAATACACTGCTGGTATAATACAACAGCATAAGACTGAGGTTGAGAGCTACTCAAATAGATATATAGATTATGGAAGGCAGAAATTACAGTATCTGTCCACATTAGACTTAAAATGACACAATTGTGATATTATCTCATGTATATATCCTGGATTATCAATAACAAACCAAATATATTTCACAGCATTACTAAGCAACTTCCCTGTTATCTATTAGATTGGAGTTCTTTAAATATTTGAGTTTTTTAGGAAGGCATTATATCATTATTAATGTATTATAGTTACAGAAATTCTATACAAAATATACAAAACCAAAGTGAGCAAATAAAGGGTAAATGAAGTAAAATCAGTGATAGGTCACACAGCTAAATAAATATTCTTACAACTCAGCTCTCCCTTTCATATCAGGCATAAAAGTGTACATTTTTTTCACATTTGCTTTTTTAACCAGCTTCGGAATTTTGGAAAGCCCCTTACATCATCATTGTCGCTATCCAAACTTCCCTTCTTCTTTTTCTTTTTCTTCTCATCTTCCTTCTTTTTCTTGTCCTTTTCTGGAATGACATCATCAAGGAAGCTGAGGTCATGCTGGGAGAAGAGGTAGTCCATACCTTTTCTGACAGCTACGAGTGCCAGGATCTGGAACAGCAAATACAAAGAGCATAAAAGAAACCACATCAGACATTGTCACAATGAGGACTGACACTGCAGCATGGCAGAGACCTACTTTGTATATTGTTGTTTTATGAAAGTCTCAGCTGAAACTCATGTTATTCCCTACACGTATGATCACATTCAATTAGAATTTTTATGTGAAAGGATAGTTTTTCAAAACCATTTCTTTCCATGTTAGATTTTTAATAAAATAACTAAAAGTTTAAAGGAAAAATAAGCCTGTAGATGACTTCTAATTATGCAAAACTTTAAAAATCATACGGGTTTATGAAAATCAATAAAATGAGCATTATGTATAGTACTCCAAGACATCTCTGATAAGATAGTATTTGGGGATGCTTAGACCATATTCTTACTGGACTACTTCAATCACCACCATCAATTAAATATTTACTATATGCCTGAAAACTGGGCCAAACTCTTAGGTAATATTATCGCATTTATTCTGTACAACAAACTTGAAAAGTAGATATTATTATCTCCATGTGACTGCTGGTGAAACTGAAGCTCAGAGGCATTAAGTATGTTATCTGAAGCCACAAAACCATATAAAAGAAAAAGAAAGGGTCCCAGCTGCCTGCTGCTATCGAGTATTCTTGATGTTTGTGTCTTCAGTCTATGATTTGCTCTTGAAGACCAATCCCTTTTCCCTTCCTTTACTTTTGAAGGCACATTAAAGATATGTTTGCTCAACAGCACATTAGTATGCAGCAAGTTACAGGAGTCCTGACTTGGCCTTAAATTAAACAGCTGTCTCTATCTACATCATGCTTTCTATATGTCGGTTTCTTCATTTTCTGGAGAAGTTACCAACATCTGCCCTACTGTACTACAGGATTGCTTCACGACCAAATCAAAGCTCTGAAAAAACAAATACACTTTATAAAGGTAAAGCATTTTCTCATTGTTATTCAGCACAAGCAGTAATTTATAGGATATACTTTAAATTTATTGTGGCTTAGCTTCAATTTATCCTGACTTAAGAAAACCTAATAGTAAGTAGATAATACTAATAGGTAAGTGGGAGTCAATTCTCATGCTTAATGTGTTTTACAGTAAGTTAATGTAGTTTAAGGAAAAAATCATGTAAAGAACCATTAAGAAAAAAAATATGAATTAATATACCATTAATATTTCTTACCATTTTTTTTGCTGTGTCCCTTGGAGAAAATAAATAAAATATATAAAATAAAATAATGATCTTAGCTAAATAGTTTTACAAAAAATAATACAAAATGTGATAAGTGTATGGAAATTGTTTCCAAAATTATGGGGGAGACAGAACTGAGGTGGCCTTGAAATCTGTTTTGTGTTATGTATGTGCACTTTTCTTTTTTTTTTTTTTTTTTTGGAAGAAACAGAAAGCTAGGAGAAGCTATAAAATTCAGTAACGAGGCCAAAAACAGCCTTCATTCCTTCTTTCCCTTTTTAAATTTCTGATTCAGAGTAGAATGTTAGTTGCTTTACCTTGATTCTCATCATATCATGCCAAGGATAGGTAATCTACCCTTAAACTTGGCATGATGTAAACCACAAATACTTCAAACACTAAACTTCTTACTTCCTTTCTTCTAATGCACTATAGGATTTCTTACAAGTCCCCAAATACTTCTACTATTGAGACTTAAAAGTCCTTTACTCTTATTTAGATTGGGTCTATTAGACAATATTTTGAAAATAACTAATGTGCACTGGTGTCTACTATGACTCAGGCTTTGTGCTATATATTTGATATTCATTATTGGTGCACAGAACAGTAATGCCACCCTTGTTTTACTGATGAGTTAATGGCAGCTCACAGAGGTTCACTGACCAGGGTTAATCTGAAATAGTATTTGAATTCAGGGGAGCCCAATTCATCCTAGCCAGTCATAGACATAGGCAACTTAAATTACACGGATCAGAGTTATGAGGTCAAAGCTAGAAAATTTAGGAACCTCACATTAGAAACATATGTGTGTTTCATATCACAATAACCACGTGATATCAGCATAACCTCATGGGAAGATTCCATCAAAGGATTGCCTACCATGACTGGGAAAATGATAGCAGCCACCGTTGACTTGAGGATCCAGAGCAGGGCCAGACATAACACCTGCAGGAAAGTGAACAGGTGGACACGGCGCAGAGGTACATGACGCAGGTAGATAAAGTCAGGTTGATGCTTCAAGGGCATCAGAAGCAGCTTCAGACGATCCATGAACTGGAGAGGAAAGGGCAAGAGAGTCCAGCTGCATTACTTCAAGGGCCTATTCATACAGTCATTTCTGCTATGCTTAAGTAACCAGTAGTGATTTATATTTAGGCAAGCAACATCCTTTGCAATGTCCTTATGGAAGGACAAGGTACTTGTTAGGGAGTGCAGAAATTCAGTCTAGTATAGTCAGACCCTAGTATGAGTCCTCTCAATTTTGTTATTATTTGGAGGAATGTTATGCAGATGCATGAGATAAAGTGCCACCAAAGAATAAAGTCACAGAGAAAATCATAAATTCTAGATGCTCATCTCCAAGTTTTCTATTTTCTACTGAGTCTCAGGAGAGAGGGTTTTGTGTCCATTTAAATAATGATATGCTAAAGGAAGACATCTGACTCATACATCTTACTCTGCTTCACTTGTCTTACCTGAAAGAAAAAGGAATAATACTATGCATCGCATATATATATATTTCAAGGATATTTTAAAGATATAAAGAAAGTATACAACTTAAAAATGGGAATGTATTAATATTTCCATAAATTCAACATTACTTATCTATGATATAGCTTGACTAGTATTTCTAGCAATGCATTACCATTTCTTTCAAGAGAAAAGCCACACAAACATTACAGTAGGTTTCAAGACAGAGACAACTAGATACTTGAATCTAAGGGAGGTTAGCACACAGATATTAAAATGATTGAGCATCTATGTGCCAGCTGCTGCACTTCAAAAAGGAACTGCTGAGTTGACATTGACAGTGATGGTGAACAGGATGGTATTTACAAAGCCATCACAGGGTCTTGCAATGGAAAAGGCTCATTAAATCATTGCTGAATTGAAATTATGTTGCATAAACTCAGAAATAATATCTATTTTTTTCTGGAGAAAAAGAAGTACAAAAGTAAACCACACTATCACAGACAATCTTCTCTGCAGTGATTTCCCTATTGAAAGGGGTTTCCTTCTTCCTTTAAAGCTATTTTCGACTAATAGAGCCCCCTCTCATTTATGAAGATTGGGTTTTACAAAACTTTTTTGCTAAATCCACCTTGTCAAAAGAGTCTAAAAGAGACAGAATCAAGAGAAAGTAAAGAAAGGCGAAAGGGCACTAGAGGCAACAACACTGCAGAATTTAGCACTAGCTGTCCCTTTAGCCTGTTTCTTCCATCATCATGATGTGATTGATTCTTTAACTAACATGTACTGAGCTCCAACCATCAGTAAAGTTTCTAGAACACACAGAATCTAATTGCAGTTCTAGATCATGTCATTAAGGGCAAACAAAAATAAGAACCATCAGCTCAAGGTCATAGTGGGTTCATATTTTTCTATTTAGGGAAATAAAGAATACTTACAATGACACATTAAAAATACAATATTTTTACAAATTTATAGTCTAAAAGTTTCATGAGCTCAACTAATCTCACGTTTACATTCAATATGCACAGTCTATGAGACCCACTTTGTATTCTGTAACAAATATCCCAGCGGTAAAGAAACTCTCACTCAATGGTTCTAAACAGGGAAAAGTAAAGTAGCCTTTTTTCTTTGAGGGGGGTCTGGCCACTTGCCCAGCTCTATCTGACTTTAAAACCAAGTTAATCTAAATTCAATAAATGAAAGCAAGGACTATTTTGAAGTTCAAATAAATTCTTATGATGTTCACAGAACATGCAGTCTTTTCCCATTAAAACATTACTGACTGCTAAATAAGGCTACAATTAACAAGGTGCCAGAAAGCAGTAGCAGAACTTCCAGTTTCCTGGTGCCAATTAAATTAAACCTCAATTGAAAAACAAAGTCCCTAATAATTTTTTTCCTAATGATTTTTTTTAAGGAGATCAGGGCTGGGGAGGTAGCTCATAGTAGAATGTTTGCCAGGCATACCCAAGGATCTGGGTTCAACTCCAAGCACTGGAAAAAAAAAAAAAGGAGAAGAAGAAGAAGGAGGAGGAGGAGAAGGAGGAGGAGGAGAAGAAGAAACAACTTAACAAAAGAGGGTTTGGTTTTACCAAAGTTGTGACAACAGCAGTACATAAACCACAATGACTTTAATCATTTATTAGTGCAAAACTTCTGATCACCGAGTTCAGCCATGTAAAATGCAGATGAATAAAGAATAGCTTGTTCTTGGTAGAGTCTACAAGTAGATCAACTCCACTGAAGAACACCCTGAAAAAGTTAGATGCCCTTAAAAGGAAGGGGGAAGGAAGAAAAGGGAAGAGAGAAAAAAGAAAGAAAAAGAAAGACTATATCTCACTCCCTAGTCAAAGAACTTTTAGTAGCCTGCTTCAAAAATGGATATTTATGATATTTGTTAACACCAGCTAACTTTGTTGACTAAGTCAGAAACAAAAAGCAGGTGAAAGGTGGATAAAGTAGAAAATAAATTATTTAAATAATTTTAAAAACTCAACTATTCATGATTAATGCTTGTTTTTGAAGATCCAATACTAGCCCATTATTACTACAAGAATTGCACTACTTAATTCCAATTGCAACACAACACTTACCTGCACACCATTAAGTGAGGCCACCCCCATGTACAGGAATACACCATACAGTACTGGCATAGGAATAAACTGAGAAGGAAAAAAAATGGATAAAGGTTAAAAGCAACAATAACATAAACACTAGAGGGAATAATTTAAATAAAAAGGCTCAAAGACAGGATATTGTAACATAGTGACCTCTAATAAGTGCTCTTTCTTCCTCTGTTGATAAACTTCTACACTCTTTGTACTAGAAATAAATGAAGGATGATGAAGGGGACTTTCAACTTTCATTTAATGTGTGTGTGTTTTTAATGAGCATATGTGACCTTAATAATAATTTCTTTAATTAATGGTGGTGGGAACGAGTTTGGTTTTCTTTTGCCTTTAAAAGCAGTAGACTATGCAACCCAGATGCTTGCAAGGACTATGAGGTAGAAACAGGGAGCAAGTGGCCTCACTCTGGAGACCAAGATCCTTCCATAACATCACACTCTGCTGATTTTTTCCTGTACAATTTTTGCTAAATGGTATCAACTTGGTGGGCAAATGCCTCTTTCAATAAAATAAACATCAAACAACTGTCCCTTTCTTCTAAGGAATATTAAGAGGATAAACTAATGAGAACATGGCTTAAAAGGAGTGTGGAACATCTGGAAGCAATTAATTACACGCATGGATTAATACTCATCTTTTAAAATTCAATTAATACATCTTCATGCATTGTTCAGCAAAAAATCTTTTACATTAATACAAAGTGTTTTAATAATGAGAAATTCTAATGTGAAATCTGTACATTTCACCTCTTCCTAGACCTGCGAAATGTGAGCACATCAAGCATGATTCTGATTCTGGGAAGGCTTTTCTCAGGACAACAAAAGGTTGTCAACATGAAATTCTGAAAAGAAGTTCAAGCAATTTCAGGATTTTTCAAAGCTAAAATATTAAAACCACAAGTCAATTAAGGCCAGTCTTACCAAATGCATACAAAGGAACTGACTGTAATCAGAAAACATGGAATGGCTGTAGAGTAATTTTTGAAGAACTACTGCATGTATTAAGTGAAGCATAATTTCATAATTTCTAGCAGCCTCTTTCCAGTAGCTGGGAACTGAATCCAGGGACCTGCAAACATTGCTCTTTCTTTCTTTCCAGTGCTGGGGATTGATATCACAGCCCTTCACATTCTAGGCAAGCACTTTACTAATGAGTCCCTCCCCACTCTAGCCCTAGCATCCTTTCTTGTGACTGTTTAGTGAAGTTCTGTCTCAAGAGATCCTTAAGCCACCATTAGAGAACTAGTGAATACTAAAACAGGTCATGACAATCTTTATTACTGGTTAGTCATAGAATGGTTGAATTTCTATGGAATAAATATTTATTTCTATAAAATAGCAAATGCTTCTTTTTAAAAGGATTGACAATTTTAAGATAATTAATCTTGATCTTGAGCTCAGAAAAGAAAACAAAAACAATGACCTGAAATGCTGAAGGGGGTGGGAGAGACGTGCTGATGAGGGGAAGCCAGGCTGCTGTCATACCCAGCAGCCACCACAGAGAGGTAGACATTGCACATTCAAGTCACCCAAGCTGGCACACAAGCCTCTATTCTTTCAGAATGTGAGTGTTTCCATCCCTTACAATTCTGCATACATTTATCAAAAATAAATAAATAAAAAACAGAGACCACTTTATTGCTTTAACTCATTTTTAAAGAATCTTCCATTTTCCTTAGAATATGATGATTTCTCTATTATTTCACTTTTAATTTTGAGAGGAAGGGAAGAAAAACAAAAGGGGAAAAGGGAAAAAATAGTTCATTCATGAAAAACTAGTTAGAATTCTTAGGGTAGTTACTTTTTAATCCTGGTAAATCATTTTTCTAGCATGAGTAAAAAGTGTCTCCAAGAGTCCGTTCCTGGCCTAATCTTTACTCCTTACCTGAGCTTAGCTAAATATTTTCTCTACTGTGGTTCAACATCAAAAGGAAGGAAAATTGTGTCTTGGACCTTATGTCTGTTCCCTCTGAATTTGTAATCATAATTATAATTTATAATTATAGATATGATCCAATTTATCACAAAATAAAATCAGAAGGTATCATTAACACATAATGACATGGATGTGGGCAGGAATATAGGTTTAGAAATAAATATTTTTTTGAAATACACTTTTGTTGGGAAGGAAAGCTATGAAGTAGATTTTTGGTCAACTTCAATATAATACAAATGTCTTATGAAATTTATCATATTTTTACAATATCTTAATAAAAATATGCCAGTATAGAACTCTTGATGAAACTTGACAGAATTATTGTGTTAGAAGATATTTTTTATTGAATTTGGTCCATGAGTTCACATAAGAAGGTCATTCTTGAAAAATTAATCATACTAGAATCCTTCATCACAAAAGGAAGGAAAAGAAGAATAAGTTTTTAATGTGTGTGTTTTTTAATGAGTATATATGATCTTAATAATAATTTCTTTAACTAATGGTGGTGGGAAAGAGTTTGCTTTTCCATTGCCTTTAAAAGCAGTAGACTATGCAACCCAGATATTTGCAAGGACTATGAGGTAGAAACAGGGAACAAGTGGTGGAACCCCACGTCTTAAGTTAAACCAGGATGATATACATAGTAATAGGTATACAGTTTTACAAAGACAGATAGGAGGACATAAAATATAAAAACACAAGGTACAATAGGATTATAGGCAAATCAAAAATTTCCAAGTGACAAAATTATGCAAAGAAAATGATATAATTAATCATTAGATAGAAAGGCAATAGGAATAATTATAAAATAGTATTATATTTAATAAACATGAAGAATGAAAAATTAAGTGATTGATCCTATAACCAGATAGATTAGTAAACTGGAGATGAAGTCAAAGATTTAATATATTCAGATCATGTCATGTCAAATTTTCAATTTCTGGTAAATGTAACTCTATACCTTTGATTTATTGATAGTGTTAGAACATTCTCAGAAAGAAAAACGTGAAAAGAGTAAGTTGACTAATAAGGGGAGACTGTAGTTTTCTAACACAGAGTTCATGACAGGAGTGAGAGCAGTGTAAGGGTCTGTGTGTGTGCAGAACCCAGAGTAAGACTCTGATAAAGAACATAGGTATAGAAGTCAGACGGACCTGGGTTTGATTTCTAGCTACTGTCTGTGTAACTCAGAAAAAAATTATTAACTTCTCTTATCCTCAGTATCCTCATCTAGAAAGTGGCTATGATAGAGATTACATAGCAGAAAAGATCTAGTCCAGGGCATGGTTCATAGTAGATACTCAATAAATGTGGTATTGATGTCATCATTAACATGATCTTGACTGACAAAGCCGATGAGCCTGAAATTGCTAAGCACAGCTCTCATTGGGATCTGAGTGATAGGGGTGACTGGGAGCAAAGTAATGGGCCAGAAGGATGGCTGAAAGGTCATACCTGAAGCCCTGCTTTATTTAAACTTTACTACATTACCCTTTGAGTTCTAACAACCATCTTTAAAACATGTTATTAAAATAATATCATCAATCCCTTAAGCCTTAAAAAACCTTAAGCTGCTAAAGAAGGTGCTGACCTACACCCTGGTCTCTAATAAATGAAGAAGCTGGAATGAGGCCTGACGTGGAGTTTGTGGAAATGCTGTGGTTTTTTCTCCACATAGGATTAGAAATTGGATCAAAGAAGCTGGGGAAGATCATCTCATGGGAAATGATAGTGAACGAGTTCTGTGAGGACAAGTACCATGATTTATTTTAAAAGGTGACAAATCATGAGGGTTATGAGATTGGCTTTGGTGTCAGGACTGCCTAAGTTCAAATCTTGGTTCTATCATTAAAAAACTTTGTGACCCGGTAGTTTATTCATAAATTTTCCAAACTGCAAAATAATTAGTAGTATCTTTTTTTTTTTTTTTTTGGTGTCACTGGAGGACTAAATTTTTAAAAATCTGTGCTGAGCCCTTAATTCAATGATAAACTCAATGAATAGTAACAACTGCGGTCATCATCATCACAACCACCACCATCATCATCTCTGTTGCCCTGGTACAGAGCACAGTATGACATATTGTAGGGTCTGGACAAATATCTGCCAAGTACAAACTAAATGCTATCTTCCACACTTGAGAACACTAAACAAATCTTAAAGATAAATTCTGGCCACTCCTCATGTTAAAGATAAACTAATTCAAGCAAAAGCAACCGAAAGAGCAGTGAACTTCATTTGATCTTTATTTCTTGAAGCTTGCCAAAAAAAAAATGGGAAAAGTAAGCTCAAGGAACTGCCTTTCATCTTTTCACTGCCCTTTAGTCTCCCCTCACTTCCCCATACAGAATACTAGCAGTTAAAAAGGCAATATTTCCACTGCAGAAACACAGCGGAAATCATTTAACCAGCCTGGGAAGCCGGTTATTCTTGCTTCCCAGCAGTTCTGCACTGAATCCATGGTGAGATTCAGCACTTTGAGGCATGAATGACTGTAGCTGGCAATGGTCAAGGGGGTTTCTTCATGGACTTAAAGCTGGTGCACTATAATTCCTTACATTCTTCCACATAAAAGGCAGATTTCGGCACACAGATCAAAACAGAGGTCATAAACTTCATGTTCAAAGTAAGCTTGCATAAGCAGGCGGCGGGTGGGGGAGTGGGGAGGGCAACCACCTATACTGCTTAATGCATGAGAGAAAATTGCTAAGCTCATCAGAGACCATTAAACTTGTGAGGGAAATAAGGAGTTGGGCAGGGAAGGGGTTTAGACATTTCCTTCTGAAAAGTGAAAGTCACACATTTCTCTTGTTCTCGTTCATTTGATCTACCTTTCAAAGACAGACTATTAAGTAAAACTATTCTCTGAAGCTGTCACCTGCTTCTTTAAGAAACACAGTCACATGGAGGAAGAAAAAAGGTACCCTACTCGGAGGTAACCCCTAACACCACTTTTTGTGTGAATTCTGAGGTTAATTATTAATCGAGACTTTACTTGAGTTCTAACTTAGGTTTTGGTTAAACTGTACCCTCAACAACTGCTTCTTCCTGTATTGACTTTTTAAATGACCTAACAAGAGACCTCTAATAAGTGTACATACCCACATACCTCCCCAAGCTTCAGTGCTAAGAAGAGCATGTGATCTGAAATTAGTTGAGTTTTTTCCAGAGACATGACTCCTGAAGTAGGGAACAGCCTGACTTGCTCAAGTAAGAAATCTCAGTTGCCAAAGCTTGACTATTTTGTCCTTGTGGTTTTTGAAAGTTTTCCTATATTTGTTGTAAACTACATTATAAATATGTTATGAGCTATGTTGACAAAATGGTTTCACTTTCCACATTTTTGACAAAACCCTACACGACAAAAATGCTTACTGAACTCCTGTTTTCAATGATTCTTACAATGATCTTTTGAGTTAACCCAAAGTCACCAGATGAAAATAACACAACCATGGATACTAGTGGCAGAATGAGGGTGACCAATGCATGGACTATTTAAGCAAGGCCAAAGAAAAAGCAAGCTCATGTTCACTGGTCCCTGCATTTCTCTCTTCTTTCTCTGCATTCTAATCTCTTCTTATAGATACTAAGGGGCTTTGCATATCAGGGGCAAAAGGAATCATTGTAAAGCACATCGTAAAGCAGCTTTAACTCCTCTACAGCCATATCTGGGTGCAGGGTGAGAAAATAGGAAGAGGCATTGTGAGTTCTGCAAATTTTCCTTAAAATAACAATTTACAAAGTATCTATTCTCCAGGTCCCTTTAGAATCACACATGATTACTCTACAGACAGGTCCTCCAGGATTAAAGCCAATTTACTATAACACACATTTTTAAAAAAGGACTTTTAAAAATATCTGGCTTTCCTAATTAGGGTTTTATATGTATATAAATCATATTGAAATAAAAAGATAAAATGGAAGATGATGAGTAAATCTAAACTAATGGAAAACGTTTCTATTTCCTTCATTGGTGACAAGGCACAAGCACTGTGCCTTATAAGCCCACTTTCTGAAAGCCTGGAGAAATGTATTCAAAGGAGCGCTTCCCACAACATAGGGTCCTAATTACCCACAGTGAACTCTCTAAAGATGATCTCTCCAGATGAGGTCTCACTGCCTGGGACGCAGAGCTGCAATTAGATATTTCCACCAGCAGCTCTGCTGGTGTCTACAGGGGGACACAGGAACAGAATGAATTCTGTCTGGCAGAGGACCCAATACTGTGAACCTGACCACACCTTCAAGCCTACTTTGTACCTTGCTTTGCATCGGGCAAAACTAATAACAGATTTCCCTCTCTTTACAAAGAAGCTAAGTCCTTAGTCTTTTAAGGTCCTCTGTACATAACCAGAAATAATTTCTCTAAGTTTATTTTTAATCTTAGCTCCCATGTGTTACCTGAGAAACAGGCATCTAGTCAGAAATTGATTCAATCAGACAACTGACATTGTGGAAACCAAGGACATAAGATGGATAATTAAATATTTAACAGTTTATGATGTATTTTGTATCCAATATATGCATTAGTCTAAACCCCCTAAAGGCAAAGGTAGTCTTATAAGTTTAGGTATTAGAATTCTACTTTCTTAAAATTCATCTGGTTGGTTATTGACATAAAATTTGCTAATCTGAGAGAAATGAGGGTCTTTTGTTTTCTCTATCTGTATACTTTTATATTGTTTGAATTCCTTAGAAGAATGTTCTACCAGTTATTTGTACAATTGAGAACTTTTTAAAACCTTAAAATTTAAAGTTGCTAAAAATTTTTAAATTTCAGGAAAAAAATTCGAAACATACTGTTAATAGATATTGTTACTAAAGATATTGTTGTTTATACTTATTAGATCTATGGCTGATTATAATGTTCTGTACTATGGCATAAAGCATAAGATAAATTATCATTAATTGGCATTGTTTCTATAATAGGAAAAAAATAAAAAGCTGTGTCATAAAAGAAAATTGGAAGATTTACAGGCAGGAATTTATTAACCTTCTTCTTTGTTCCTACTTCTGCTACCTCTGCTCTGAAGTAGGCTTTCATATATCTGTTTAAATTTATCTATGTAGGCAGATATCCATCCCCTCAATCAAACCTATGTGTGGACTCCTAACTTGATATACCAGCTTTTTCTTTTCTTCTTCTTCAAAAGTTCATTTCCACAGTTTTCTAATTATAAATCGGTAAGTTTACCCTCATTTCCCTTGGAGAACCTAAATTGGCCTTCTGATTCAAAGAAAATAGAAACACAGCAATAATTAAGAATGGGAGAAAAACTGAAAATGACCATTCTGAACCACTCACAGCATCATATCCAAAAGTCTAATGGAGAGACAGGAAAGGCTTTAGGTACTAGTAAATGGGGGTTATGTAGGTACAAGTAAATGGGGGTTATGAAAGAAAGGATAGACAGGAAGACAAGGAGAGTAAAAATTGAGTATGTGTATGGATCACTCAGGTTGCACTGTGTGAAACTGCCATTCTGATAAGTTAGAAAGTTTCAATATTGGGCATTTTATATAGCTCAACTGAATAACTGAAAAATACTGGTTAACTGGAAATCAAGATATGCTTTTATTTTGGGGGGGGGTGGCTACCTGATCTCTGTTTCAGTGTTTTATAAAACTAATATGAACCTTGCAAATATTTTACTCTTCACATAGTCCAATTATCTGTCAGTGTTCTGAGAAGGAGGAAGAAGTATTTCACATATTTACCTTCAAGATGGGAGCCATAAAGACTGACAAACCAGTCAGAATAAACACAAGGGTTCCAGTGACTCTTTGTTCCCTGAAACCAAATCAAAAGATTACCAATCTACCTCTGGTTTTCATAAACATGCTCTTGTCTTTGCATCTTCAAAAAAGACAACACATTGACCAAACTCATGTTCAGCAAAATAGCAAAGATGTTGACATCATATAATTACCTAAAGGATATCATATGAGCTTAATACATCTATAAGAAATCTCTCAAGACTATTACAAAAATGTGATTTGAATTCACAAAGAAAGAAATGATTCTGCTAAGGCTTTTTGCTCCTTTTAGAATCAAGAAAGAAAAATCACTTGCTCCTGGTCCATCAATTACTGGCCTCTTTGAAGCCCTTATTTTTTAAACAACTTGTCCTCTTGTGTAATTACACCTTCTTTCATAGGAGACAGATATTACATTGTCCCACATTCTAATTAACAAACAGCTCAGGGAAATTTCATGAGTGCAATAAATCACACCAGTCTAATTTCTAAATCTACAACAACAAAAGTACTTTTTAACCAATATGATTCTCATCCAACACTCCCCTCCCCCACTCCATCCCCAAGAAAGAATCATCCCACTGTTGAGGCGTGGGAAATGATGGCTCTGTGGTGTGAACTATCCACCCAGGCACTTATGAGCATGGTTTGCTGCAAAAAGCATCCAACAGAGTATAAAGGTCTTCTACTACCACTCTTCATGGCTACCTGAACTGAAAAGCTGGAAGTCAAAGTTTCTCAGTGCTTTTGGGGAGAGAAAATGAGTTGGAAAATAAAAATTCCTTTCCTTTACTGAATTTTAGAAATCATAAGTAGACACAAGCATTTGGGGGCCTTTACACACAACTGAGATTCAGTGAGTACTGCAGCACCTAAATCACCTGCATATTGATGAAAATGAATGACTTGTTTGTGTTTTTATGCTTTTTTGTTAATCAAAGGAAATTTATATATAATAAGAAATTAACTTAAAAAATCATTGAAAACTCTCTTTCTGATGAAAAGTTAATCCTTGCTAGAACAAAAAAAAATTATAAATAAATTAATCATCATCAGTTCTGTCTCCTCCAAATCTGCCCATTTCCTTTTGATTGACACATAGATGTGTGCACAACGTCTTTTGTTGAGCCACTGTCCTCTGATTTAACACACCTCACTCCTAGAAACTTTGGTTGTTCTCCAGGGGCAGACGTCTCTGTCTCCATCTTCAAACTGTCGATGTGAGCAATGGAGATGACAGTAGCGGCCACATACCACGGAAGAGCCATGAAGGAGCACACCACCATGAGAATGGCCACCCAGAAGAGATCCAGGTGATACCCAGCTCCTTTCTGTAGAAAGAGATAACAAAACCACATGGAAAAACATTTGTATTTGCTATCTATTTGCATTACCAGATAGGAATTAAGATTACCAAAAGGAACTGATTCATTTTACTTGAGGAGAGTATCAACTTGAAGGGCAGCTCATTAAGGGAAGAAACTTTATCTTTCTTATAAAGGAAGTTCTCCTAGCAACTAAAACTAGCCACCTGCTATAGCTGCCATAGCAGTCATCTTCTCTATCATAGCTTTGAATAATTATTTAACTTAAAGACTTAAGTCACAGCTTCACTTAGTATTTGCTTAGATTTATGGCTGATCATTGTGTTCTGTACTGTGGAATAAAGCATAAGATATAAATTATCACTAATTGGCATGGTTTCTATAATAGGAAAAAAGAATAAAAAGCTATGTCACAAAAGAAAATCAGAATTTTATATTCAGAAAATGGAGATATTGTGCCTACTTTGAAGTGTTAATAGTACTGTGCTATGAACTACCAGCAGCAAAGCATCTTGTAGATACTTAAATGTAAGTAGCTGTTACACAGTAGGAGCTCAATAAATGGAGTTGGTAGCAGGACTGGTATTGGTTGTTGCTGTTCACAAAAGAATGACAGGCACCTTAAAAACAGGCATTTGGGGCCAACATATTCGTTCACCATCATTAGCAATTAGGGAAATGCAAATCAAAACTACCCTGAGATTTCATCTTAATCCAGTCAAAATGGCAATCATCAAGAATACAAATAATAATGAATACTGGACAGGATGTAGAGAAAAAGAAACACTTTGACATTGCTGATGGGACATAAATTAGTACAATCAATATGGAAATCAGAATGGAGGCTTCTTAAAAGACTAGGCATGGAACCACCATATGACCTAGCTATACCACTTCTCGGTATTTATCCTAAAGAATTCTTACTACAGTGAGACATGCTTACTCATGTTTACTTAAACACATTCAAAATAGCCCAATTATGGAACCAGCCTAGGTGCCTGCCAATGGATGAATGAACAAATAAAATGTGGTACATATACACAATGGAGTTTTATTCAGCCATAAAGAAAAATGAAATTATGGCATTTGCAGAAAAATGGATGGAACTAGAGACTGTCATGTTAAGCAAAATAAGTCCAACTCAGAAGTTTACAGGCTCTATGTTTTCTCTCATAAATGGAGGCTAGAGAAGAAAAAGGAAAACAAAGGTGAAGGTGGATCTCTTAAAAATCAAAGGGAGGCCAGTTGAGGATAAGAAACAAAAAATGTGAGGTAGGAAGATAGAGGGGAGGGAGAAAATTCTGGGGAGTGATATTGGCCAAATTATATTGTTATACTGTGTGCATATATGAATATGTTACAACAAATCTCATCAATCTGTACAACTATAATACACCAATAAAAAATATAGGGGGAAAAAACAAGCATTTTGCCTTCTCTCCCCATAGTGTTTATCAGTATGCTGTTCATCTACACAATATTGAGCATATGTAGACTAAAGATCCAAAACAACCTGAGATGGTACATGGAGGACCATTTCTCACCTCTCATGATATATAAAAATAATTGCTTAACAACCTATTACTCAACATCATTAACCTAATTAATTCCCTCTTAACAGAATAGACTGGTTTGGAACATCACTCAATGGTCACAATAACATTTACTGACTGGAAGAGCAGACAATGTAACAAAAGGTCTAGCTCTTTTACTCCCTGAATCAATATTGTTAAATGTGTTCACAATGTTATTGTATGGTTATATTTCTCTGCTCTATTTATGAAGAAATCAGATGCTTAATACCCCTATGGAGCCTGAGAAAATAGAGCAGTCCATTTTCACAGCATGGAGGCAACAGTATGAGAGGCAGAGGGGGACGGAGGGAGGAGAGGCTGGCTTTCAAAAATGAGAATGTGATTTACACCAGGATCCTGGTGACTGTTATCATTCAGATCCCGTTACAGTTTGACAGAACACCACTCTCCTTTCACTGCAATGCCAAGATTTCACCTCTGGCTTGCACACATGGGTCTAATCATATTCCCAGAGAACTCATAGCAGGAACGAAGGGCTGACACAAGAAAGAAAAGCACGTGGTCATCTAGTGCAGGTTTGGATGAGAACAAAAAACAGGTTAAGACGTATCTATAAAAGCAGTTCATTTCAGTTCTGCGGATGGCATTTATCTATCTTTATCTATTAAACTGGGTCAGGGAGGGACAAGGGAGGCACATGTGGGATGAACTGGAACAAACTTATTCCATGATGACGAATGAGGTGAACATCATGATATATCTGGGATCTCAGTCACTCATTCTTTCAACAAATACTGACTGCCAACTTAGACCCAGGCACTATTTGGGCCGTTGGTAACACATCTGTGAATAAAACAGACAAAATTCCCTGGCTTCATGGCCCTTCTATTCTACAATAGGAGACTATAAACAACCCAAATAAATAATCTATATAGTATCTTAAAATGTACTAAGTAGAGTTATAAGAAATTGGACTTGTACACTGAGTATGACTGGACTGTCTTCAGTGGAGGAGTGACATGATTTGCTAGTGTTCTAAACATTCTGGCTGCAAATTGAGCAGAGTCAGGACAGAAAGACTAGATAGGAGGCGACTGCCATAACCCATGCAGGAGATTGTGATGTTTAGAACCAAACTGATGGCAGTGAAGATGGCTGGATTTCAGCTGTGCTTGGAGGTGGAGCCCTAGGATTTGCTCCCTTTTGCCTACACATCTGTCATATAGAAACAGTCAATATATACCAATATCTATAGCTTCCTCTCTCACCTCTCTCCTGCCTGAACCCTACACCACCACCACTTTCAACCTCATGCAATTCCTCAAATGTGTTTCACTCACTAAAGCCTTTTGTATTTCTGCCCACACAGCCTCTTCTACATAGAACTCTAATTTTCCTTCTTTTGCTTGGTTCAGTCCTATCTATCCTTGAGACTTAAATTAGCTTTCACTTTTTCCAATAGTTTTTTTTCTGCCTCAGCCTAGATGAGATGAGTGAGTTGCTAGGTTAGAGATCCTCCTTTATGTTCCCCTATTTTTCATTTTATGCCTTCCTCTAGCACAGCACTCAAACTATCTTTTTAAAATTTTATGTGCATTTATCTATTTTTTATATTAAATTTTAAGTAACATGGGGACCTAGACTGTGTCTGTTTTTCCCCTCCGTATTCTGAATACCTTAGCAAAATGCACGATGAAAAAAGGTGATTCTCAATAAAGGTTTATTTTAAAAACAGAATGATAAATACTACATATATATTTGCCTGATAGCAACTATGAATTCTCAATTGGCCATTAAAAAGAAAGAGAAAACTTTATTGTTAACTGATAGATATGTGAAACATCTGGGGGCTCCAGGGAGGATAATAGTTGGAAATATCACATAATTTCAAGCTCTATTTAGACTAAAACACCAAAGTCCATGTTGTAGGTAACAACATAGTATTTAGTAGACAGAATTCCAAAATCCTGTTACCAAAGAACTTATGATAAGGATGCACATATTGGCCAGATCAATGGGTCAAAAGAATGGCCACTGTACAAAGTTACGCACACTACCCTGAGCTATCTTGATGCTTTCTCTATTTCAACTAAAACAGGTCTTAGTTAGGTGTACTAAAGACAAGCACAAAAGGACAAGATCATACTAAGAAGGGTGAAATAAGAATTTCAGATAGTAGAACACAAAGATAACTACTATGTATAATCACCAGAATAAATGAAAGTTCTGGGATAAAGTAATTATAGACATAATTACTCTGTACCCCTTGATATCACTGCCTCCAAAGTCTTCCTTCCTTTCAACGATGCCGAGACGTCTTGCTATTCTTAAGAAGAAATGATCATCATGACCTGAATGTCCTTGCCTGATCTACCTCTACCTCTACCTCCTTCTCCAGGCTCAACTCTCCTCTCCCACTCAGCCACACAGTAGCTCATTCTCATCAGCATACCTCCTCCTGTAAGGCCTGCACACACACAATGATAAATCACTTCGCTTTCCTGGCCAAGTGATAGCAGATTTTGATTTAGAAGGATGGCTCTGTTGGCTTACAGAGGGTATATCAGAAGTGGTCAAGATTGGAGGCAAAGGGCAGACCTGAGAATACTGCCATAACCAGTACTGAGATGAAGTAGTTTAAGCTGAAGTTACAGCACTGGGGAAAGACCATGGGCAGAGAGGAGAGATTTTAAGGAGACTGAGTCTAAAGAGGGAAAAGCAGTAACTTCATTTACCAAATTTTGATGCAAACTTATCCAGGCTTATCATGTTTAATACAGTATCCTACATACATTAGACTCTGGAGACATATTGGTTGGAAAGAATGGTAAAAGCTATACTTCAAAGTCCCTGGTGCCCTGAACTATTGCCATGGAGACCTACCTCAGAAGCCAAATGCTTGTGAGAGAAGTTGTTCCTGTAAAACAATTTATATGTGTATAAAAATAATCTATTCCAAAAACATCCTGGTTAGCTAAAAGGACCTGAATGGCTAGATTTGAATGAAATGAAAATAACATTGAAATCCTAGCCCAGTTTTTGCAAAAGAACATTGCAAGAAATATAGAAAATAGCTTTTTTCAAAAATAACACATGAAACTTCTTTATGTTCCTTACCCCTCCTCATTGCCACTGACTTTTTCGGATTCTCATAACTTCTCTCCAGGATTATACAGCAGCCTCTTTCCATCCACTTCTCCCATACATCTTACTGCTGTCAGTGGGAGAGTCCAAAATGCTCTTCTGATGCCATCCACCCCAGGGTGAGGCTGAGCAGGAGGTCAGCAGTGACGTGCAGGCCCAGCAGGCCCAGCCTCGCTTACCATGCTGAGGCTCCTGTATCTAGGACCATATGGGGAGCCCTTGAGGAGCCTACAACTCTGCATTCCCTAACGGTGCTTTGCACATTCTGCACCAGTTCCCTTCTAAAAGCCACACTTCAAACTGCCCTTCCATCCTCCTCAGCCTGGG